GAGAGAGAGAGACAGCGTGAGCAGGGAAGGGTCAGAGAGAGAGGGAGTCACAGACTGAAACAGGCTCCAGGCTCTGAGCTGGCAGTCAGCACAGAGCCCGACGCGGGGCTCGAACCCACGAACCGTGAGATCATGACCTAAGCGAAAGTCGGACGCTTAACCGACTAAGCCACTCAGGCGCCCCCCCTTGCATGTACTTCTTGACAGAAAGGAAAATAGAAAGTTCAGGGCCTAGGAAAGTCTCCCTTCATGGGAGACTTAAGCTAGAAGTTAAGACTTAAGCCAGCAAAATGGATTCCTGGTATCCCTGTTATTACTGCTTCTTAACCATCCCAAGGCTCAGTGGCATAAACCATTTGGTTTTACACATGGACTCTGCAGGTCAGGAATTTAGAGCATGCCAGGGATGGCTTGTGCCTGTCCCATGACAGTGAGGAAGCAGTCGTGAAGGCTCAGAGAGCCACAGGTGATTTGATGCCTGGGTGTCTTCACTATCAGGATGGAAGCCTGGGCTGGAATGGCTTGAAGGCTTGACTTGGCCACCTGTGTGTGGCCTCTTTGTGTGGCCAAGGCTTCCTCATAGCAAGGCGGCTTTAGGATGGTTGGACTTCCTGATTTTTCTTTCTTTCTCTGCCTCTCCCTTTGTCTTTTTCCTTCCTTTCCTTTCCTTTCTCTTTAATAGGCTTCACACCCAGTATGGAACCCAACATGGAGCTCAAACTCACAACCCTGAGATCGAGATCCAAGCTGATATCAAGAGTTGGACTCCTAACCTACTGAGCCATCCAGACACCCAGAGGATGGCTGGATTTCTTACATGGTGGCTCGGGGATACAAAAGTCAAGTGTCCTTGTACCTTTTACCACCTATCCTTGAATGTCGCATGGTCTCCCTTCCGCCACCCTGTACTGGTTGAAGCAGTCAGAAGTCTACCCAGATCCCAAGGGAAGGGGACAAAGAACCTACCTTTTGATCAAAGGGTAGTCAAAAAAATGTACAGCCATCTTTTAAAACCACTGTACTTGGGGGGGGAGGGGGGAACGGGGCACCTGGGAGTCAGTCGGTTAAGCGGCCGACTTCAGCCCATGTCATGATCTCACGGTTTGTGGGTTCGAGCCCATCATCAGGCTCTGGGCTGACAGCTTGAAGCCTGGAGCCTGTTTCGGATTCTGGGTTTCCCTCTCTCTCTGCGCCTCCCCTGCTCACACTCTCTCAGCAAAAATGTTTAAAAAAAAATTTTTTTTTTTTTTTAAACCAATGTACTTGGGGCTGTCCCCACACTGTGTCCTCACCACCATTCAGCTTGGAGCCATCACCAACACCACTGACCCAACCTCCAGAGAAAGGGCCAGCAGTTTCTCAGGAAGGCCCTGGGAAAATCTGTCCCAAGAGGGGGCAGGAGAGCCTATGAAGGAGCCTAACACCGAATTTGCTGAATCTCATTCATACCTCATTGAAGTTACTTGTTCAACAAGTACTTCCTGAGCATCTGCTTTGTTAAGTTCCAACATGGTACAGAGTCTTAAGGCAGCAACTCCAAGGAGCTTATAAGCTCAGAGCACACAATCCACTTAGAGGAGGCCTGAGTGTAAGAAGCTTTAATGCCACACAAGCATTAGAACACCCAGGGCTGCCAAGAACGGGGGCCTCTGTATCGTGAATTGCCCCCATGCCTCCAGACACATCTGGGTTTCTCGGATACTAGTAATTTCACACACTGCAGCCCTTGGTAACAGCCGCCTCCTCACAACTGCTCCTTAGACAAGCAGCACCAAGGATGAGGGCTGATCTCTCCACTGGGTTAAGTACTAGAGGATGAAGGCAGGAGGCCAGCTCCTCCCTCAGTCTCCTCCTGCGCCCCGCCCCCAACCCTCACTCCTCTTCCCTGTCACCCAGTCCTGGCTGTGCTCAAATGATACTCAGGGGAACTACAGAAACAAAAAGCAAATGCAGATGCACTGAATCCATCACCAAAAGATGGCATAAAGCCCAGGAATGCTGAGACATAGGCGTGGCAGGAGGATGGGCCAAAATCTTCCAGGTCAGGGAACCCAGGAAGACAGACAGTGAGAGGGGCGACTGACAAGACAGAAGGGAAACCCGCAGAACCATGAGTAGCACAGAGACCCGCAACCCTCATCCCCAAATCACCAGGTGACCAAAGAGGCAGGCTCCTCCTCACAAGAAACCTTTTATTACAACGGCACGCTGGGGGCCCAGCCCACTTCCTTGCAAACAGCCCTGGGGGCTAGGACCGGTCTTCCCCGGTAGGTAAGACTCAGCTTTGCTGGGCGAGTGAATGGCTCCACTCTGGGTCCAGAAGAGCATCTCTCCCCTTGGCCAAGCCCTCTCCGAAGCTGAGGTGATGTGCAGAGGGCCTTCCCTTCTGAGGACGCCCAGGTTCACACAGTCCACTTCAGGCACCTGCAGACCGAGGAAGCCCAGGAGGAGGAGGGGTCCCGGGAGGTTGGGCGATAGGATGGAGAGGATATGGGCCCAGGGGGAGGTTCCAAGCTCACCTGGTCTCCTGGTGGGTGCCCAGACAGCGCACGGTGCAGTACCGGGCGCCACAGCTGACACAGGTATACGGAGACGGGAAGCCGCACACAGCACAGAAGGGGCGCTGGGGCCGGGAAGGGGGTCCCGCGCAGGCCGTCAGATAGTTGGGGCCCTCGGCCACGCTCAGGTTCTGCAAAGACAAGGGAAGGCTCCGCACCTCCTCCACCAACCCATGTAGCAAAAACCGACCCAGGACAAGGACCTCTGCAGCTCCGTCCTCCCCTGGGGGGCCCTCCCAGCCCCTGGGGCCACCCCCCTCACCTGCTCCTCTAGCAAGGCCTGAAAGTTCTTTCGGAAGCGAAGTTTAAAATGATCGCCTCGAGTTTTCTTCTTTTTCTTTCCTACAGATGAAAAGCATTTACAGTTGACCACTGAA